ACTAATTGCCAGCTTGATTAGATTAGAAGCCTGTGTATATCAAAGCCTAGATTACAATATCAATATGCATTGGTTGTATGAAGCCCATCAGACTGGGCCTACCCAGGGTTCCTTGCGGCCAGCCGAGTACCTCTGTCACATTCTCACAGTCCATTCATGTGATTCTCATCTGTTCTGGTTCTTTTGGGACTAGACCGCCTCTGTGGTCTAGTGGTAGAGCGTCCGCCCGGAGAGCGGAAGGTCCGGGGTTCGATCCCCAGCTGCGTCATACCAAAAGACGTTAAAAGATAGTACTTGTTGTTACCCTGTCTGGCGCTCGGCATAAAGGGGCTAATGGTCGACTCAGTCAGTATACCGTGTCTGAGTGGGGTATTCATGTTAAACTGCGGCATGGTATCTCAGTGGGCTAGCACTATGAATCGGCATCAGTCCGGACTAGTACAAGCAGCCACACAAACACACACATGTACATAAATGTTGCTATATAAGGCCAATAATCTTGGACGCGACGTTAAACCCAATTTCACCTTACCACCTCACCTCTTTTTGGACTACACATTTAGATAAACATATGTCATGAAATGTTTCACTTTCATTGAGAAAATATCCTAAAATTTTGAAAAACTATTTCCACTTGCGTATTTATCCTCTTCGTGCTGTCATTGAAGCCCTACGGAGGGCTAGCTTTATGGTCACTTTGATGTGAAATGTGATATTGTGATGCCCCTCCATTTTGTAGTTGTAGTAGTATATCTGTATAATTATGTAAATATGTAAAGCTCACCGAGAGGCATGCATGTGTTTATCTCAAAATGAGTGCGCTTGTTTTCAAGAAAAGTCTGGTCACGTGATAAACCTACACGTGCGGTGTGGTCACTAGAGCAGAAATGGAATAAGGTGAGCAGGGCTGTGTAAGCTTGGGAGTTATCGGCTATTGTTTACAAACAAAGCTTCAGAACGGTCAACATCCTGTCCCTTTAAGGTCAAGGGATCAAGTCTATGTTAAAGAGACTGTTTCCGTTGTCTGATGAACAGAGCACCTGCCCAGAGGTAGGTTGGTCGGTGCTTCATTACCCAGTTGCATCGTATCAAAGATGGTACTTGTTGATTCCCTGACTTGTGCTGGTCATTAAAGGGATAAAACAATGTCTGGTGGTCTCGGAATCTATACTCTTTCTGAGTTGGGATATACACATCTTCCCGAGGCAAGAGAGTTAACTGACTTTAAAATTCCAGTTTCCACCCTTGCCGAACTAGGCTGGAATTCCTGGGCTTGATCGTAGCACCACCAGTAGCTATTACCAGTTATGTCCCTTCTAAGCCTCTCCTATGGACCAATCAGATTCCACCTCTCGTAGCACTTGCATTTGCCTCAAACAAAATGGCGGCGCCAAGTCAGGACGATCTGCTCGATAATCAAGCTCTATATTGTGATAAAACGGGTCTTACATCGCGAAATGCATCAAATCACTTGAGCACCTTGATTAAAAACATGAAAAGAGCTTGAAAACATCTGTTGACAACGAGTTGGCGGTGCACATGCTTTGCAAATCCTGCAATCGACCGAAATCTGCATGACAGTTTACGAACCGGATTTCAATTTCGTTTGCGGGATTTTGATTGGACTATGCATAGACTCGTTAGTCCAACCTAAATGTAACTCCATAATACCAGCCTAGTTTGGCAAGGGTGGAAACTGGACTTTTATAGTCAGTTAACTCCCTTGCCTCGGGAAGATGGGGTATACATGTTAAAGTACAGCATGGTATCTTATTGGGCTAGCCCTGCAAAACCCGCATTAGTCCTTATTAGTACAAGAGCCACACACAAGCACATACATCTCAGCTATGTAAAAAAAGTTACGTAATTAGTTTGTTGAAAAGTGCCATGGCAGAATTTTGTCTTGATCTATGGACATCTTCATATCATTTTGATTGTGTTGACCGAAAGTCGGGGGGGACAATCTCACCAGTACACGAACCTGGCATATGGTGACAAATTACACAAGTCATCAGGTCAATGTTATTCTTGAAATAGAAAGCACCTGTTGAAAGAATTATGTAATAAATCATTGGTAATCACGTTTTGATTTGGACTAAAATATATACACCAATAACAAGATAATGATGATGTATAATGATGTTGCAATCACTACGTTATCGTGTTAAAAAAACTTAATGTTGACTCATGTACATAGGTAAGATAGAAGCTTTTTATCCTTCATAAATCTAACAGATACTGAAGGTGAGGGTGAACTTCCAGCTGTGTGGAAATGGGGATATCAATTCATATTGGCAAATCACTTTGGTCACTGTTATTGTTTCCATTCTGAATGATGCTGATAATGGGAGGTGAAATGTGGGTTACTGTCGCTTTCAAGATTATTGCATTTATATGGCAATGTGTATGCACAAAGTACAAGTCCATGGAGAGTGAGTGAGTATGGTTTTACATCACATTTAGCCATATTCCAGCAATATCATAGCGGGGGACACCAGAAATGCGCTTCACACATTGTACCCATGTCGGGAATCGAACACGGGTCTTCGGCGTGACGAGCAAACGCTTTAACCACTAGGCTACCAGACCGCCCCTCCATAGAGATACCATGCCACAGTTTAACATGGTTACCCCACACAGTAAACTGACCACCGGTCCTTGTTTTATCCTCTTGGCGATAGCCAGGCAAGGTAACGTAAAGTACCATCCTATAACTCCATTTGGTATGATGCAGCCGGGGATAGAACCACCAACATTCTGCTCTCTGGGCAAACACTCTATCCACTGGACTATCTGCCCAATTAGAACTTCTGCAGTATTTTACCCATGCAGATATATGAAATTCAATCACAGACATACTCTGGCACAGTCAGCTACTGCTGGGGCTGCAAATATTTGAGCCTCCTCTTTATATAACCCATGGGCTTCAAAACTGACAAATAAGACCATTTTAAGCCCATGGGCTTAAATTTAATTGAAAAATTAATAGATCTCCATCAAAAGCAGCGACAAACCAAACTCACCTTTTTCCTTTTTTAAGCCCAAGGCTTAAATTTTGATAAAATGTTACTCAACTTGGATAAGAAAAATCTGTAATTAAGCCCAGGGATTAAAATCTTGTGACCAGACTTTCCTCTTGCAAACAAACATGCTTATTTTGAAATCAACCTAGTCAGCGAGACCAGTTCTAACCTGATCTTAATGGGACCCAAAATAAGTACAAATACATTAGCTGATTCTAACAAACATGATGATTTACACAAATAGGTCCAATGGCATGTTCAAGGGACCTGGATCTAAATCATTCCTCAGTATTCTATTGCTTGGAAACTCAGTTAGATTGGGTGGTCAGATTAGGTAACAAAGTTGGTGGGGGATATTGAAATGGGTTCCGTCCGTGCGTGTGTGTGTGCATGCGTGCGTCCCTAAGTCGTTTCTGGAGCATAACTCAGAAACCGTTAAATATTTCTTCTATGAAACTTTGCATGTCTATCAGAGTTCGTTTCCAGAGCATAACTCAAAACCCATTCAATACTTTCTACCAAAACTTTGCATGTTTAGCGATACATACTGAACTGGTGCCTTTTGCTATTAAGGAATTTTAGAAATTTGTATTTTTTATGTTTCCATGGCAAGTTGGACTTAGGTTCTACAAGGGTGGTGTTCGTTTCAGGAGTGTAACTCAGAAACCGTTAAATACTTTCTTACAAAACTTTGCATGTCTACGAGGCATATGCTGAACTGGTGCCTTTTTATATTTAGCACTTTCATAAATTTCTATTTTTTATGTTTCCATGGCAACAAGTTGGACTTAGAAAACAATATAGGGTAGGGTTCGATTCGGGATGAAATTTTCCACATCTATCAGACACATGTTGAATTGTTGCCTTTTGCTATTTATGAATTTTAAAAATTTATATTACAGGGCATTATTTCCAGAGCTTGTTTATAGTTTATATTCACTACCACATGAACAAACAAGTTTCTAATGTGCCCCATGGAGGGGTATAGTGTAAACGCTGCTTGCTTGTTGTGTTTGTTTGTTGTTTGATGCTGCATTCAGCAATTTTCCAGCGGTCTGTAAATTATTGAGTCTGGACCAACAATCCACTGATTGATATCATGAACATTTATCCACGTAATTGGGATACGATGACATGTATCAACCAAGTCGGCGAGTCTGACCACCTGATCCCGTTAGTCGCCTCTTATGACAAGCATTGTCGCCTCTTATGACAAGCATGGGTTGCTGAAGACCTATTCGACTCCGGATCTTCACGGGTCTGGTTGATAGTGTGTTATCCTGCCCTGATGGCCTGGGACATGCTCATTACATCCACCACTGGTTGACTTTATTGTTCACGAGCTGCCTTGATATAGCTTGAACTGACGACTAACCATAGAAAACCAGTTGGTATGCCGGGTTAGAACTGGCCCCCAGCAATCCTTGCTTGTCGTAAGAGAAGACCTGGTGGATCTGGTGGTCAGCGCAGTGACTGGACGATTGCATGTCATTGTACCCTGATGTGTGAATTGTTTCTCATAATATAATCACTGTATTGTCTGGTCCAGATTTGATTATTTACAGGCTGCTGTCATATTGATGGAATATTGTGTGCAATGTAAACAACACAACAACCCACCTTCTTGTGGCAATGCTGGTCTTTCTTTTCCCCTCTTAATGACCAACTGATTGGTTGCGGTCAATAGGTGCACACATCATTATTTCGCCTCGTATCATATACAAGCAGTAATTGGCGCTCGCAGGACTGAATATCTCCAGGCAGTCTCGGGTGTCATATTCCTTGCACGTTGTGTTCGTATGTTTGATCGCCATAATCGTAAAAAATGTGTAATATTGAAATCTGAAGGAAGTTGTATATTATGAGAAACTACCCATGGGGCCGGATCAAAACGGTAGTACACTGGCGTGGCGGCAAAACGGAAACATGTAACAATGGCGATCAATACTGCTATCGATTATTGACAGTCTACGACCAAATGATTCATCCTGTGGCCAAGTGGCTGATGGAGGGGCATGAATTGCAGACAGCATCTTGAACGCTTTAAGGTAGACCTACAAGGAATTGATGATCATAGCATATGCAGTGTGGAAATACCACCTTTACTGGAGGAAAGAGTGTGCAGGGAGTTTGGAGGCCAGCTTCATAGATACCTGTACGGAGTGGGTGTAACGTTGTGGACAGTAACTGAAGCGTATGACAGCCAGTCATGGCGAGGTATGTATGGTGGAGTTTTACAGTGGTGAATAATGTTCCTGCCTCGGCAAGTGGTCTCCTTGTCCATGTGTGTTAGAGCTAGTACCTTGACGGAGAGTAATGAAGTCACAAAGCCGCCTCTGAGTCATTTTGTGAGGTGCAGAGAGGTTGTTCTTGTTTTGCTATCTTTTCTTCTTAGGCTTTTCCCCCTGGAAGGATTTTAGGGCAGGATAATATAATACGTCAACGCCAGAGAATAATCAGTCTTGATTATGTACAGAATTGGGAGTAAAAAGCCAAATATCAGTGAACATAATATGAATGGATCACTGAAAATCGGTGATGACACCAGGTGTTTGCAAGAAGGTAAACATGTCCTGGCGTACCGGTAGCACCTGCCATTCACACAATTTGCATAAATAGAATAAGCGTGTGATTGTTGCCTGATGCTGCACAGCAGTTGTCATGTCTGTGATGGTCGTACTAACATGCGCTGAGATAGGATTTTATTTGTTTTGTTTCTTGTTTAATGCCATAGTATTCCACCTATATGATGAGCAATATATTGATATTATGAAGTCAGCTAGTCTGACCACTCGATCCATTAAATTACCTGATGCAACAGGCAAGGTTGCTGGGGACCAGTCCTGGAATCAAATAGGAACACTCTGATGGATGATCACCCAGATTGACCACCTTGAAGCCATGGCTGGGTTATTGCTTCGTCATAGTGCCTGGTGGTGATGGATGATCACCCAGATTGTCCACCTTACAGCCATGGCTGTGTTATTGCTTCGTCATAGTGCCTGGTGGTGATGGATGATCACCCAGATTGTCCACCTTGCAGCCATGGCTGGGTTATTTCTTCATGCCTGGTGGTGATGGATGATCACCCAGATTGTCCACCTTACAGCCATGGCTGTGTTATTGCTTCATCATAGTGCCTGGTGGTGATTGATGATCACCCAGATTGACCACTTTGCTGCCATGGCTGTGTTATTGCTTCATCATAGTGCCTGGTGGTGATGGATGATCACCCAGATTGACCACCGTGCAGCCATGGTTGGGTTATTGCTTCGTCATAGTGCCTGGTGGTGATGGATGATCACCCAGATTGACCACCGTGCAGCCATGGTTGGGTTATTGCTTCATCATAGTGCCTGGTGGTGATGGATGATCACCCAGATTGACCACCTTGCAGCCATGGTTGGGTTATTGCTTTGTGCCTGGTGGTGATGGATGATCACCCAGATTGACCACCTTGCAGCCATGGTTGGGTTATTGCTTCATCATAGTGCCTGGTGGTGATTGATGATCACCCAGATTGACCACCTTGCAGCCATGGTTGGGTTATTGCTTCATCATAGTGCCTGGTGGTGATGGATGATCACCCAGATTGACCACCTTGCAGCCATGGCTGGGTTATTGCTTCATCATAGTGCCTGGTGGTGATGGATGATCACCCAGATTGACCACCTTGCAGCCATGGCTGTGTTATTGCTTTATCATAGTGCCTGGTGGTGATGGATGATCACCCAGATTGACCACCTTGCAGCCATGGCTGTGTTATTGCTTCGTCATAGTGCCTGGTGGTGATGGATGCACCCAGATTGACCACCTTGCAGCCATGGCTGGTTATTGCTTCATCATAGTGCCTGGTGGTGATGGATGATCACCCAGATTGTCCACCTTGCAGCCATGGCTGGGTTATTTCTTCGTGCTTGGTGGTGATAGATGACATCAAGGTCACAGTGCCAACCATTGGTTCCTCTGTTCTTGGTTACTTTGTTATCTTGGTTACCTTGCTATCTTGGTTACCTTGTTGGTTATTATGACCCTGGGTGCCAATCTTAGCGCTAAGGTGATCGTAACACACATACCTTAACATAGATTTATGACAGTCGTAGTGCTTAGGATGTTTTGTACAAGGGCACCCTGGTGTTAAACAAAGTTGCAGTTATATTACAGCAGCTGGTATTAATGTGTGCTGATGCCCAATGGAATGGTTCATTACTCATAATTTCAATCACTTGATTAGTTACAAGGGGCGGTCGTATAGCCTTGTGGTTAAAGCGTTCCCTCGTCACGCCGAAGACCCGTATTCGAATCCCGACATGGGTACCATGTGTGAAGCCCACTCACTCACTCACTCACCTCTGTCAAATTGTCACAGTCCATTCATGTGATTCTCATCTGTTCTGGTTCTTTTTTAACTAGACCGCCTCTGTGGTCTAGTGGTAGAGCGTCCGCCCGGAGAGCGGAAGTTCCGGAGTTCGATCCCCGGCCGCGTCATACCAAAAGACGTTAAAAGATAGAACTTGTTGTTACCCTGTCTGGCACTCGGCATTAAGGGGCTAAAACAAGGACTGGTCGGCTCGGAGTCAGTATACTGTGTCTGAGTGGGGTATTCATGTTAAACTGTGGCATGGTATCTCAGTGAGCTAGCACTATAAATCGGCATCAGTCCGGACTAGTACAAGCAGCCACACAAACACACACAGGTACATGCACGTCGCTATATAAGGCCAATAATCTTGGATGCAACGTTAAACCCCATTTCACCTCACCTCACTCACTCACTCACTGATAAGTTACAGGCTGTTGTCATACAGCTGAAATATTGCTGAGTGCAGTATTAGTATCATGACATCTATTGCTGACTGTGGCTTAATCACAACAGAAGCCACTCCCCTCCGCTCAGTCCCTGTTTCTGTCGCCTACTGAGAAGTCCTTCATTGAGTGATGACTGTAATTATTGCAGGGCGTCAATATGGGGATGTCACCTACTCTGAGACGATCACAATGTGTGCCTGGAATTAATAGTCCCCTGGGTGATTGAATACAAGGCCATACACCTGGATCTCATGTCAATATAGTTGTTTGTAGGCAGGGGAAGTAAGTACACGATGTATCAGCATTAACTCCATGGACTCACGTTATATATAGTTGTTTGTAGGCAGGGGAAGTAGGTACACGATGTATCAGCATTAACTCCATGGACTCACGTTATATATAGTTGTTTGTAGGCAGGGGAAGTAGGTACACGATGTATCAGCATTAACTCCATGGACTCACGTTATATATAGTTGTTTGTAGGCAGGGGAAGTAGGTACACGATGTATCAGCATTAACTCCATGGACTCATGTTATATATAGTTGTTTGTAGGCAGGGGAAGTAGGTACACGATGTATCAGCATTAACTCCATGGACTCACGTTATATATAGTTGTTTGTAGGCAGGGGAAGTAGGTACACGATGTATCAGCATTAACTCCATGGACTCACGTTATATATAGTTGTTTGTAGGCAGGGGAAGTAGGTACACGATGTATCAGCATTAACTCCATGGACTCACGTTATATATAGTTGTTTGTAGGCAGGGGAAGTAGGTACACGATGTATCAGCATTAACTCCATGGACTCACGTTATATATAGTTGTTTGTAGGCAGGGGAAGTAGGTACACGATGTTTCAGCATTAACTCCATGGACTCATGTTATATATAGTTGTTTGTAGGCAGGGGAAGTAGGTACACGATGTATCAGCATTAACTCCATGGACTCACGTTACATATAGTTGTTTGTAGGCAGGGGAAGTAGGTACACGATGTATCAGCATTAACTCCATGGACTCACGTTATATATAGTTGTTTGTAGGCAGGGGAAGTAGGTACACGATGTATCAGCATTAACTCCATGGACTCACGTTATATATAGTTGTTTGTAGGCAGGGGAAGTAGGTACACGATGTATCAGCATTAACTCCATGGACTCACGTTATATATAGTTGTTTGTAGGCAGGGGAAGTAGGTACACGATGTATCAGCATTAACTCCATGGACTCATGTTATATATAGTTGTTTGTAGGCAGGGGAAGTAGGTACACGATGTATCAGCATTAACTCCATGGACTCACGTTATATATAGTTGTTTGTAGGCAGGGGAAGTAGGTACACGATGTATCAGCATTAACTCCATGGACTCACGTTATATATAGTTGTTTGTAGGCAGGGGAAGTAGGTACACGATGTATCAGCATTTACTCCATGGACTCACGTTATATATAGTTGTTTGTAGGCAGGGGAAGTAGGTACACGATGTATCAGCATTAACTCCATGGACTCATGTTATATATAGTTGTTTGTAGGCAGGGGAAGTAGGTACACGATGTATCAGCATTAACTCCATGGACTCACGTTATATATAGTTGTTTGTAGGCAGGGGAAGTAGGTACACGATGTATCAGCATTAACTCCATGGACTCATGTCAATATAGTTGTTTGTAGGCAGGGGAAGTAGGTACACGATGTATCAGCATTAACTCCATGGACTCATGTCAATATAGTTGTTTGTAGGCAGGGGAAGTAGGTACACGATGTATCAGCATTAACTCCATGGACTCACGTTATATATAGTTGTTTGTAGGCAGGGGAAGTAGGTACACGATGTATCAGCATTAACTCCATGGACTCACGTTATATATAGTTGTTTGTAGGCAGGGGAAGTAAGTACACGATGTATCAGCATTAACTCCATGGACTCACGTTATATATAGTTGTTTGTAGGCAGGGGAAGTAGGTACACGATGTATCAGCATTAACTCCATGGACTCATGTTATGTATGGCTGTAATTTCACTGGCAATGTTGTTTACACCTTCCCTTCAGACTTCAATCCAACATTGTGATGAGGTTGGGATTGAAATGTTATTGAATCTAACCAGATGACCAGGCAGTTGATGATTGTCATCTAAGGCATCACAATTTCCCTTGGGCGCACCAGAAACCTCTGATCATGGGTTCAAATCCCAGTTTGCCCTGATTATCTTTCCAGGTTTGTCAGCACGATAACTATGCTTGTGGGATTCACCAAAGAGGTGAATGTCTGAGACCTGCATCAATCACTTCAGGCTTTCCTCCCACATTTGGTTGACATGCCGTCATATAACTGGAATATTGTTCAAGCTGCATTAAACCGAGCTCACTCACTTTCTCACTCTCTCACTCACTCACTCACTCGCTCA